ACTTTAGAATATTTCAGATTGAGTTAACAATACAAGCAATCAACATTTCTTTTTATATTAAGTGGCTTGTGGTCCACTTGTATCCGATTGTCCCCTTATATGAGAGGTTTAAGGTTCAAGCTTTGGTGTAGGTATACATAGAATATGTGGGTATCCCCCTTTCTTTATAATAAAAAAACGTTTCCTTTTATTTTTTAATTCTTTAATTTATTTAACACTCTCTATGTTCATTCTCGAGCTATTTATTCTCTCTATTATATTGGAGACCCAAAGGGATAATTAAGAGGGGCACTTTGGGTTAAATCAGCAAGTAATGATTGCATATATTCCCAAATAGTAGCTGCATTATGTGATTTGGGATATCTTTCAAGGAATTATTGCAGAGATAATATCCCACCATGCATTAACCCAAAAATAAAATAAAAAAACAATTATAAAGTGAAGTCTTACATTGTACTAGTCCTAGCTCTAATCCAAACCAATTGGTATCATGATGTCTGGAAAATAAATGCATTTTCATCAATCAATTATGTACTCCACTCCAATATATCCTCATGACACATTGACACAAGTAATATGATGATGGTTTTAGTTGATATCATAAATATTAATTTGGTTTAGTGAGAACACCTCCCATGTAAAAAGTGTGGACACTTCTAGACCATTGATCTTGAGAAATCATTTTTAAAAATTCTTTCAGCCACCTAGGAGGGAAGAGAGTGAAAAATGGGAGTTAAAAAACAAAAGGGAAAAAAAAAAAGAGAAAATCACTGTCAGAACAAAAAAAAAAAAAGAAAAAAAAAAGATAGTTTATGCGCCCGTTGGGTGCAATTGGTGTGCAAAACACTCACTAGTGAGAGTTTAAAAAAAATTTATTAAAATTTTGGTGGGCCCACAAAAAATCAATAATACTATAAAGAGTTATACTATATAGACTCCCAAAATTTTACTCCCTCATTTATACTCTCTGGAGTGACAAATCAGATAGTTATTTTCATCATGTGGGTCCACAAAAAAATGTCTACATCAAAAGTATGTTAGAGGGAGTGCAAGTTGGGAGTACACCAAGTATTTTCCTACTACAAATGCAAAACACTCCCTCTCTCATCCAACTCATGCCATTTCTCCTCCATATGTGCATAAAAACTCTAAACAAACTTCGTAGGCATCTTCAATAGTGAAGTTTTTTGAAAAGGTTTTTAAGGTGTCAAATAAGAGAGAATAGAAAGAAAAATGTGAGAAAAAAAAAAAACAATCCTAAAACAATAAATAAATAAATAAATAAGTGTATTTACACGCCCACGTGAGCTGGAGGCTCCCCTCTCTCTTGTGGTGGGATCCACAAATCTGTAAAAATTTGGATCTTTACAGGAGGACCTCAAACTCACCCTCTCTTCTATGGGGCAAAAAGATCTGAAAAATTAAGAAAACTCCTCTTAATGGAGATTTCGTTGCACTCTCAGTTGATTTCTTCATATTTTGTAATATGGTATAACCCACATTATTATTGATACATGTGGATCTAAACTAGTTTGACATAACAAATCTCACTTGACATCTCTACATGACCCTATAAGAGTGTGAAGTATCCATACGTTATAACTTATAATATAAAATTTGTGGGAGACCGTCTCATGGATTATTATCCATGAGATGGATCGGGTCAAAGTAAAATGTAATACTTATACTAGCAAATGTAATACTAAATTAGGAATAAAATATTTATTACTAATTATATGAAAAAATGTAATACTTTTGAGAAAAAATGTAATACTTTTTTATTGTGATGTAAACGTATTACATTTTTATCAAAAATATTACATTTTCCTTTATAAATACGTCATTACTTAAAAAATATAATACTTTTGATTAAAAAAACTAATACTTTTACATAAAAATATAAAAGTATTACATTTCTTCTCAAAAGTATTATGTTACGTTTTCTCTTATAAATAATAAAATATTTTATTTCTAATTTTTTTTTTTTTGAATGCTACTAGCTCTATTACATTGTAGTATCTGTTCATATACTTTCTCAACTTACTGAAACACAAAGAGCTAACAACGCCTCCACTGAGGCTCGAACTCACAACCTTCCAAATGAAAGTCCAACCCGGGTACCATTGGACCACATAGTCCTGGTATTTTATTTCTAATTTAGTATTACATTTATTAATTATTAGTATAAGTATTATAGACCCTACTCAATATGTCTCACGGATAAAGATTAGTGAGATGGTCTCACGTAGTTCTTTATTTTATTTTATTTTATTAGGTTTTTTTCTTGGGTGAAAGTTCTTTTACTCTATATACCCAAATCGTATTAAACTATACCTAAACCATATATATACTAGTAGGGTACTCACATATACGAACAAGAAGTAATAATCACCCATTTCATCCTTACCTGAATCGAATTGAGATCTACCTTGATGGGTAGCATGTAAGATATACCATTTAAGAATATTTTAAAAATAAAAATTTGATATGTACAACATGCGGAATAAATTTTTAGGGAATAGAAATACTATTCCAGGTGGAATAAAATAGACAAGGAATATAACAAGAATTGTATTCTACTTATTGTTTTGTTCGCTAGGGGAATAGACCTTAGAAATGTTATTCCAGTGTTTGGTTGGTTTAACGAATTGAATAAAAATAGAATATGTTTTTTTAAAAGTCATAAATACCCATATATAATAATAATAATTATTATTATTATTACATAAAAATTTTAAATAATATTATTCTATATCAAATATAGTATTGTAAAAAAAAAAATCATAATGTGTAAGTTGTTATCAAACAAAATATTTATAAAGTAACAATTTTTTTTGAAGAACATTTAATAATATTTAAAAGAAGAACAATATAATTTTTTTCAACAAAATACTCATAAGTCATAAGTAATACAAATGTTGTTAATAATGTGTGTCTTTGTGTGTGTATGATTTACATCTTCCCAGATGCTCTGTCGGGCCGGGGTGTGGGGGGCCCTTAGGGTTGGGGTTCAACCTTTTGAAAGAATACCATATACATTCACTATATAATAAGGTAAATAGAAAAAAGATAAACTGTACTGAATGAAAAAAAAAAAAAAAAACTAAACAAATTTTATATTTAATTAGATGTAAAATATGAAATGAGAAATTTAAACTATTCCCGAGAACCGTTCTCAATAATAGTTAATACCATGGGGCCTTTTAGAATACTTATTCTCGTGCGAGAAAAATAACTCATTATATTCTTGAATATAAAATGCATTAACAAACAACGGAATAAGCCTATTTTAAAAAATGACATTTCATTCTAGGTCTATTAAATGAAGCAAACGTGTTATTAGCTCCTCAGTCAGTGAACTAATATAATTCGAATAAAAAATTTAATTACATTATAGAAATTAACTCATAAATATAAATTTGACCCAAATATTATACATTCATCCAAATTTTCAACATTAATTGGTGTAAGCATCAAAACGGTTGTATCATCTATCTTTAAATTCAAAATTATACCAATTCCCGATACCAAATGACCATGATGATATGTCACACAAATATTGTGAGTAATAATTCTAAAAATTGATTAAAAGCATCAATTTGACCGGCCATAATCATTGCACCGTTCATGTACAATTATGTAGATGTTGTTCCCCATGGTTGAATCCTAATGACACCTCACACCCCGACATGATAAAGCATCTGAAAAGATGTAAATTATGATAACTTAGCTGAACACAAATGTTAGACCTTTTGCTGGTTGAAACCATATTGTCGTTGGTGAGACTCGATCCCGAATTATTGTTCTCAAACTTTAATCATGTAATCAACTGACTTGTCCATGCGAGTATATTTATGTAGATGTAATATTGTAATATGATAGAGAGAAAGAAAAAAAAAAAATAGAAAGCAATACAAAAAGGGTAGATGATTCTTATAGTAGTATAGTAAAAGCTTTAATATATTCCCAATCTATAATTTAATGGCAAACATAATCCTAATAAACAAAAGTCTCATGGTCCCCTCTTGCCCCGAAAGCAACTCAATTATATTCTCATTTCAATTAAACCCCATTATAATATGTTTATATAGTTTTATAAGAATGAACTTCTAATTTTGTAAAATATGGCTGACTAGTAAAACTTATAATTATAGATGAGGAACATGATTTGTAATTATGAATTATTTGATTATGATGAATTAAAAAAATAATATGATTTTATTTAATCAAACCTGCCATTATTATGATCTAAAATCTATAAAATCATTTGATTTCACCCGAAATTTGAAATTACTATTATCTTAATTATTAAAGTTTAAGCATTTCTTTTTCTTTTTTTTTTTAAAAAAAAATTATTAAAAATCAGTCCAAAACTAAAACATCTTTTAAAAAATAGTTTTACCTATGGGTCATATATACTATGATGTGCGTTTATTTCAACTTAATCAGAGGTCTCAAATTTAAATCTTGAAAATGTAACTATCTTAAAACTCATGAGAGAGTGTCGTGTGAAGTCTTAGTTGACTAGTACTAGCTGGGAAAACATGGTTCAAAATCAAACTAGACCAAACATTAATCACCTCTAAACTCTAGTTAAAATTTTAACTATGGTTGAACATAAAATTTTTGAAAAACTAAAAGTAGCAATAATTTGGAGTATTTGTATTTAAATTGTATACCTAATTACCTTCCCTAAACAAGAAAAATGTGAAAATGCTTTTCATTTTTCCAACTTTATTGACAACTTTCAAAAACAAGTTTTGAATATTAAATATTCTCCAAATGGAGAAATACAGTTGAAGAAGGGCCCCTTCTTTTTATTTATTTAATTTTTATAAAAAAAGATCAAAATTTCCAATATTTTTGGATCTGTGTTATTTCCCATTTACAAAATAAAAACAATGAAAATTTTATACCAATTTGAAACATAAAAAGACAAAGAAATGAAAGATGTTTTCCATTACAAAATAAGTATTACTACTAATTTGTCATTGTTCCTTTTCAGCAACCTTAGCTTTCTCTAGTCCCCATGCAATACAATGATACTAATCCACCATAAAGCCAAACCCAGAACCCCATTACAGCAGGGTGACAAAATTTAAATTTTTTTTTTTCTTAGGGACATTTTCCAAATTCTAATTATATCTTCCCCTCCACCTTCTTCTGCACTATGCTGCAAGTTCCAATGGGGATTCTTCTTCAGCCTTTGCAAATCCTTTTTGTTTTTCTTTCTGTCTTCAGATTGATTCACCCAGTTTTAGCTCTTGATCCTTTTACTGAATCACTCTTGAGCTTAAAATCTGAAGTGATTGATGGTTCCAACACTCTGAGTGATTGGGTTTTGGCCCCTGGAGTGAATTCCTCAGCCCAGAGCTCTCAAATCCATGCATGTTCCTGGGCAGGTGTGAGGTGCAATGAGAACTCATCAATGGTGATTGGGTTAGACCTTTCTATGAAGAATCTTGGGGGGGTTTTATCTGGGAGGCAATTTGGTGTTTTTGTTGACCTTCTTGATCTGAACCTCAGCTATAATTCTTTCTCAGAGAAGCTCCCATCTGGGATTTTCAATCTCACCAGTCTCAGAAGCTTAGATATCAGCAGAAACAATTTTTCTGGGGAATTTCCTAAGGGCATCTCGAATCTTGGAAGTCTAGTGATTCTTGATGCCTTCAGTAACAGCTTCTCTGGGCCCTTACCCTCTGATGTTTCAAAGCTTCAGTCTTTAAAAATACTGAATTTTGCAGGGAGTTATTTCAGTGGGCCAATCCCTTCAGAGTTTGGTTCACTGGAGAATCTTGAATTTATCCACTTGGCAGGAAATTTACTGAGTGGGAAATTGCCACTGGAATTGGGGAAGCTCAGAGCTTTGACTCACATGGAGATAGGCTACAATTCATATGAAGGAACCATTCCATGGCAATTTGGTAATATGAGTGAGCTTCAGTATCTTGACATTGCTGGGGCTAATCTCTCTGGCCCTATTCCCAGAGAGCTCAGTAATCTCACCAAGCTTGAATCACTTTTCCTGTTCAGAAATCTGCTTGATGGATGGATTCCACATGAGTTTAGCAGAATCAGTTCTCTAACAAGCTTGGATCTTTCTGATAACTTGCTTTCTGGCCCTATTCCTGAGAGCTTTTCAGAGCTCAAAAAACTGAGCCTGCTAAGTCTTATGTACAATGAGTTGAGTGGCACTGTGCCTCAAGGCCTTGCAAAGCTCCCAGAGCTTGAGTCTCTTCTTATATGGAACAATTACTTCAATGGGTCACTCCCAGAAGACTTGGGGAGACACTCAAACCTCAAACACCTTGATGTTTCAACAAACAACTTTGTTGGGGACATTCCACCTGGGATATGTTCTGGAGGGATGTTGTTAAGGTTGATCTTGTTTTCCAACAGTTTCACTGGGGGACTCAATCCATCCATCTCCAGTTGCCCCTCTTTAATTCGCCTTCGCCTCGAGGATAATGCGTTTTCAGGTGAAATCTCTCTGAATTTTAGTAATCTTCCTGATATAACATATGTTGGTTTGTCAAAGAATCAGTTCATTGGGGGAATTCCCCATGATCTTGCCCAGGCTTCCAAGCTTCAATATTTCAATGTGTCTGGTAATCCAGAGCTTGGGGGGATAATCCCAGAAAAAACATGGTCAATGTTGTCCCTTCAGAACTTTTCTGCTTCTAATTGTAGAATCCTAGGAAATGTTCCTTCATTTCAAAACTGCAAATCATCAGTGTCTGTTATTGAATTGAGTATAAATAACTTAGCGGGGTTTATCCCGGATAGTGTGTCGAATTGTAAGGGTTTAGTGAAGATGGACTTGGCTTTCAATAACTTAACGGGTCATATACCTGCTGGACTTGCTAGCCTTCCCGTTATTGATGTTTTAGACCTTTCTCACAACGGTTTCGATGGTCCAATTCCCTCCGAGTTTGGAAGCTCGTCGAGCTTAAAACTACTTAATGTGTCGTTCAACGATCTCTCTGGTTCTATTCCTAAGGAGAAGAAGTTTTGGGCTATGGATAGCAGTGCGTTCGTGGGTAATCCTAAGCTCTGCGGAGCACCAATACGAGCTTGCCATCACGGACCGGGGGAACTAGAACTAGGAAGCAGAAGGACTCAGAAGCTCGCTTGGGTTCTGATCACGTGTGGAGTGATAGTCTTACTTATCACGGGTGCAATATTCGGGGTACTTCACTTCAGGAGAGGGGGAAAGGGGCAGTGGGAAATGGTATCGTTTAGTGGAATTCCTCAGTTCACAGCAAACGATGTTTTGAGGAGTTTTGATTCCAATGATGCTATGGAGATGGTTCCACCAATGCCCGGTTCGGTTTGCAAGGTGGTTCTGCCCACTGGGATTACGGTTTCAGTCAAGAGGATCAACTGGAGGCCGGAGAGAATGACCATCATGTCGGAGTTCATTAACCGGTTGGGAAATGCAAGGCACAAGAACCTAACCAGGCTGCTCGGGTTTTGCTACAACAACCATATGGCCTATCTGCTGTATGACTACTTGCCTAATGGAAACCTGTCCGAGAAGATCAGAGTGAAGAGAGATTGGGCAACAAAGTACAAAATCGTGACTGGGATCGCTAGAGGACTTTGTTATCTTCACCATAATTGCTACCCTGCAATCCCCCATGGAGATTTGAAGGCTAGTAACATAGTATTCGATGAAAATATGGAACCACATTTGATTGATTTCGGGATTAAATCATTGACTCAATTAGACAACAGTTCTTCGCCCACAAGAGCAAGAAGAGAAACAGGTATATATATCTATGCCCTTGAACCTTGTAGTTCTTATGTTGAGCTTTTTAGCATGCCAGTACATACTAACATACTTATTCTTGCTATTCTGTATCATATAAAATATAGTAAATACCAATTTTGATCCCACGAGTATTAGCAAAATGACGTTTTGGTCCGCATGTTTAATTCCTACTAATTTTCATCCACGACTATTGTTTTAGTACCAATTTTTATCCATGATTGTTATTTTAGTACCAAAATTCATCACGCGGGTCACTCCTCCATTTAAGATATGTCGAAATCTAAAAATTTTAAGGGCATTTTCATCTTTTTCAACTTAAGATTTCAATTTGAACATGAATAAAGGGATTAAAGCCCTAAGATCGATCCCAATTCGCAGTTCTCTTCCTCATCCTACCTTAATTGAGGAGGGGAATTTAGAATTGGGATAGATCTTAAGGCTTAAGTCCTTTTATTCATGCTCAAATTGGGATCTTAATTTGAAAAAAGACAAAAATACCCTTAATAATTTCATTTTCGGCATGTCTTAGGCGAATGGGTGACTGGCGTGATGAATTTTGGCACTAAAACAGTAGTCGTGGATGAAAAATTGGTACTAAAACAATAGTGGTGGATTAAAATTGGTAGGAATTAAACATGTGGACCAAAACTGTCATTTTGGTAATACTTGTAGGACCAAAATTGATATTTGCTCATATAAAATCAGAAAGATTCCCTGCTAGATTATGATTTAATTTAAAATTTTTGTTGAGTTGATATCATCACATTATTCAGTAGATTGCTTACTGAATTTCAACTTCAACTCAAATGGTTTGTATGTGCAAGCAAATGGGAACTTTCACAGAAAGTTCCTAATTGCTCATATCATCCAATTCAAACACAGAAAATTGTACTAAAAAGGTATTTATGTGATCTGACATAGGAAGCTGCTATATATTTGTCTGTTAAAAACATGATTTTGGAATTTCTGGAGCAGGTGAATTAGAGATATGGACAAAAGAGGAGGTCTACATGGACTTATACAACTTCGGCAAGCTCGTTATGGAGATCTTAACGAATGGAAGAGCCGAAGGTGTAGAAGCAGTAAACATGCAAACCAAACCGAAAGATTCTCTTCTAAGAGAGATCCTAGACGAGAATGATATCCCGCCCTCTAATGTAATCCGGGATGAGGTAAAGCTGGTTCTTGAAGTTGGTTTGCTCTGCACAAGAAGTCGGGCGTTAGACAGGCCGTCCATGGAAGACGCGGTGAAGCTTCTCTCGGGTTTGAAAACCAAATAATGAGCACTTGCAAAGGGAGCTTATTACATACTATATATATATATATGTTAGACACTGGCATGTAGTGTAATGTAGTATAAAGCATGCAGTGTGTAGAGAGTGTAAAGTAAGTTTGGTTATGATTGTAGCAGATCAGATGTTTGTACTTTTGTTGTCAGATGGTTGAGGTTTAAGGTTTTTGTGAGTAAAAAGAATGTGTTGATGTAATCTCTTATCACCTTGTTCCCCCATTGAATTTTTGGTTTTTAAATGAGTGGGTGGAACATGAATCCATCTCTATCGAAAGCCATAGAATTCTAATGGAAGTTTAATAGTGTGGATGAGAACTGAGACAAATTGTATTATACGAACCGTAATTACAATGTACATGTAAGGGGAATATATATATATATATATATATATATATAAAAGAGGAATCACATGAAGACTAAAATAGGGAGTCGTACTATGGCTCAAATACAAGAATCCTAATACTAATCATAATACTTCCCCTCAAGCACATGGTATACTTGTAACTTGTAGCTTGTCTTTGAAAAAAGAAAATCTAGGACCAGGCAATGCTTTGGTAAATATGTATGCAAGTTGATCTTTTGTTGAGATGAAGTTAACTTGAATTTCTCCAGCAGCAACTCTATCTCGCACAAAGTGATAATCTATTTCTACATATTTGGTGCGAGCATGAAAGATGGGATTGACACACATATATGTAGGCCCGAGATTATCACACCATAATTTAGGGACTGAAATACCTGGAACATGAATTTCGCGTAGAAGGGACATGATCCAAATTACCTAAGCACAAACATCTGCTAAAGCTTTATATTCAGCCTCAGTAGAAGATCTAGCAACAGTTCTTTGCTTCTTGCAGACCCATGACATGAGATTAGACCCAAGAAAAACAACAAAGGCACTTGTGGATTTTCTATCCTCCGGACAGCCATCACAGTCAGAATCAGAGAAGGCATGAATTTCTCTTGAGGATGACTGTCTGACACGTAGACCAAAATTAACAGTTCCTTTCACATACCTTAAAACTCTCTTCAGTTGTTCCCAATGAGCAATCGTAGGGGCATGCATATGTTGACACAACTGATTGACTGCAAAGGAGAGGTCAGGACGAGTGATAGTTAAATACTGTAATGCACCAGCTAAACTCTTGTATTGTGTTGGATCATCATGTAGCACCGTACTGGAAGTCACGAGTTTCGACGTGGGAATGGGGGTAGACAATGGTTTGCATTCTGCCATTCCAGCACGTTTTAAAATATCATGCATGTATCTTTGTTGGGAAAACAAAATTCCATCACTGCATTTGACTGCCTCAATTCTAAGAAAAAATCCTAGCTCACCAAGATCTCTAATTTTAAAAGCAGTAGAGAGTTTCGAAACTAGGTGTGTAACTAGATTCGTATTGCTGCCCATCACAAGTATATCATCCACATAAACCAATAGATATACACAATCAGATCCCTGAGAATAGTAAAATAAGGATACGCCCGTTTTTGATGTCTGAAAACCAATAGATAGTAAAAAGGTGTGCAAACGGTTAAACCAGGTTCTAGGTGCCTATTTTAATCCATAAAGTGACCTTTTCAATAAGCAAACATGATTCAGATAGTAAGCATCAATATACCCAGGTGGTTGCTTCATATACATCATTTTAGAGAGATTTCCATTCAAGAAAGCATTATGAACATCCAATTGCTTAATATACCACCCAGATGATAAAGCTAGATAAAGAAGCAACCTGACTGTGGTTGGTTTAACCACTGGACTGAACATGTCAAAGAAGTCCTGACCGGGCACCTCATTAAATTCTTTTGCTACAAGTCTTGCCTTGTGTCTCTCAATGGAGCCATCAGCTTTTCGTTTCGTACGAAGAACCCATTTACACCCAATAATGTTCATGCCTGGCTGAGATGACACAAGCTGCCATGTCTGATTTTGTAGGAGGGCATTAAATTCTTGATCCATAGCCTTACGCCATTCTGAATATTTAACGGCTTGAGTATAACAAGTAGGATCTGGAGGACAAACTTGAATCGTTAAAGCTGATGGTGGAGCCTGAGACCGGCTCTGAGTGTGCATCTCATGAGTCCAAACTGTGTACTTAACCATCTTCCCGTGAGGACGACTGCGAGGGCGTTTCACGGGTTGGTCCGCCTGGTCACGTGGCTCACGCTCGGGCGAGGCCGAGTGATTGGCGGTGGCAGCATGTGGTGGTGGAGGCGGAACGGGGTCATCGTCGATGGAGCTGGGTCGGACGACAGCCGTGCCGAGAGACATAGAAACGGCAGCCGCGGGATGAAGAACTGACTCAGCCCACGGATGATGCTGCGCCGGTTGAGATGTCTGCACAGTGTTTTTAGTAGCAAAAGGATAAACAGTTTCATCAAACCTTACATGCCTGCACACATAAACCTTGTTAGTCTTTAAGTCCATGCATCTATACCCCCGAAACGACTCAGGATAACCTAGGAAAACACACGGGGAGGACCGGAATGAGAGTTTGTGACGATTGCATGGCCTGAGATATGGATAACATAGACACCTAAAGACACAAAGAAAATAGTATAAAGGATTGGAATTATGCACTTTAAAATGGGGACTGAGATTATTTAACACAACAGATGACATTTTGTTAATTAAATAAACTGCAGTTTCAAAGGCAAAATCCCAGAAGTTATACGAAACGGAGGCGCGGGCTAGAAGAGCCAGACCAGTTTCAACTATGTGTCTATTCTTTCTTTCAACACAACCATTTTGTTCATGAGTTTAGGCACATGATTGTTTATGAAAGATGCTTAATTGAGTAAAGGAATGATGTAATTTTTTGTATTCGGCTCCTAGATCAGACTGAATGGCTTTAATTTTTCTGTTAAAAAGCCGTTCAACCATTGTGCGAAACTTATCAAAGATGACATACACATCAGATTTTAATTTCATGGGAAAATACCAAGTGAAGCGAGTATAATCATCTACGAAAATAACGAAATAACGATAGCCATCAATTGACAAAAGAGGGGCTGGACCCCAAATGTCTGTGTATACTAAATCAAGAACACTAGAACTGGAAGACTCAACACGTGCCAACGAGAATCGAGAAGATTTACCTAATTGACACGCATTACACAAACTAGAATTACATCAAATAGAATTATTAGACCCACTAACCGAACACGACTGAAGAATACGAAGTACGACACGATGATGTGGATGTCCTAAATGATCATGCCACACTGATGGAGATGTACAAGCTGTAAGAAAAACTGAGGGAGATGATGTGGCAATTGGAAGTCTATAAGGACCCCCATGACTATTGCCTTTAAGTAGAGTTTCCTTGGTGTTATATCCTTCACAACAAAAAAAGATGGGTGAAACTCAAAAAACACCTTATTATCATTGCAAATTTTGAACAGATAATAAAGATGTAAACAGACTAGGAACATGAATGATATTAGACAATTGAAAGGAACGATATGGGGTATTAAAAGAAGCATGTCCTACACGACTAATAGGAAGTGCCTTACCATCACCCACGCGCAATGTGTCATTACCTGTGTATTCCTCCGATGTAGACAGGGTCGCAATATTTGGAGTCACATGATTGGTAGCCCCAGTGTCAGGAATCCATGTCTGTGAGTCATTAAGATTTGAATTAGTGTTTTGATACATCAAATTTGCATGTGGAGGAGGATCATAACGATGGTAACATGTGACTGCCGAGTGCCCCGTACAACCACATAATTGACAAACTACCAGACCATTGTTACCACCACTGCCACCATGCCCACGGTGACCAGTACCTCTGCCGGAATTCGACCGGCCACCGCTGCCTCCACGCTGACCGCCAAAATTCTGACCTCGGCTATTACCGTGACCACCACGACGGTTTTGACCGCCTCCGCCGTCGCGCTGCATGGCAAATGCCACTGGCGGACCACCAGGAACAATCCCCTGGATGAACTCTTGGGCACCAAGGAAATCAGCGAGCTCACTTAGGGTTACGGGTTGACCGCGAACTGAGAGAGATGCGATTAGGTTTTGAAACTCCGGCCGTAACTCCCGAAATAGATAAAGATTTTTCTCGTCTAGCCCAACTGTCCTACCGGCCAAAGCAAGATCCTCCAAAATAACACATGCACGACCAAGATAACCAGCAACTGTGGAATCTCCCTGGCTCAGAGACTGTAGTTGGCCAAGGAGATTTAACGAGCGGGCGCAAGATGCGGAAGCCAAAGATTGTTCAATTGACTCCCAAACCTCCCGTGACGTACGACAACCGACGGTGAGGTGCATAGCTTCTTCACTGAGAGAAGAAATCAACATAGACATAAGAGCCCGATCATGTCGAAACCATGTTGCACGATCGGTATTTGCCGTCGGCAGGCCTCCTTCGACGGCGGGAAGGAAGGGCGACGGACTGGGATTGGTCCCATCAACGAACGACATGAGACCATGTCCATCAAGAAACGGTACGACTTGAGTTCTCCAGAACAAGTAATTTTTATGGGTGAGCTTAATACTGACAAAGTGATGAGCAGTAGAAAGCGAAGGAATATCAGAGCTAGCGGAAGAACAGATAGGGATATTGGAAACGGTTCGTTCGGAGCAGTTAACAGATCCGCCGGCCATTAGAGAAAAAGGAAGAAAACCCTAGCTTAACTGATACCAGGTGAGAACTGAGAGAAACTGTATTATATGAACGGTAATTACAATGTACATGTAAGGGGAATATATATACAAGAGGAATCACAGAAAGACTAGAATAGGGAGTCATACTATGACTCAAATACAAAAATCCTAATACTAGTCCTAATAGTGTGATTATAGTTATGTACTATTCTCATAAAAACAACACACATTTATAGGCTCTCAACTACAATGGGTCCTAATTATACAAGAGATCATGCAAAGTAATAGCACCCAACAAGAACCCACATTCTCTTTATGCAATTGAAATAATAGAAGCATCTATAACAAAAGTAAGATGTATCAAAATTCAAATTAAAGATCAAGTCACATGATTTCAAATACAAACTTGAATCTTCCTTAAATATCGGTGTTTACCTAGAAAAGCTTATTGAGAGGAAGAAAAATGATCTAAAAATAATTCCTCATGTCTATTTATACAACTATAAATCGCTCCAAACATATTAGGAAATAACTATTTGGCCTCGATCACGATTGGTGTCATGACATGAAGCCTAATGAATGAACGTTTGCACTTCATTCCTCACGATGGCCATCACACTCACCTCCATGTCGTAACGTCTTTTCCCAATTTTCAGATCTTGACGATCACGATCGTGACGCTTCATTTCATTTCAACTTGCGGATCCCCTTCATCACATAGAGGTTTACGCTTGTGACCACCATCATGATGCCTAAGCTTCATAAAGCAAGTAAGCAACTCTTGTTTGTCACAATTGGCATTACGATGTGACCCTAGTCGTAATGCTTGAACTTCTGGTTCCTGTCATCACGTTAGTAATCCTCAGCATGACGGCCAAGTTCAAAATGTAGCTTGAGTCCTCCATGACCACCATCACGACGTGAAGTTGAGAGTGTAACAACCCAAAATTTTATTTTATAAATCCAGTATTAAGAAATCCCAAAGTAGCTTTTTCACTCCATTAAAAAATTTTGCAATCAATCGGTGTTTGAATAAAATAATTTTGTCGCATTTTAAAATCAATTCGACACCGAAGAAATGAATTCCATTCGAAAATCTCTAAGTTTTCGGGTACTTCGCGTACCAAGATTTTAAATCGAGAATTTTATCTGAGTGAGACCGGGAGAATTCAAAAAGGATTTTTAAACAAGTGTTCATCCATATAGATTTTGGGAAAATTCACTTTCAACCCCAAAGTAATAAAAGATAGCATTTCTAACCTATGGTTCATGTTACATGGTGGACCACAAGACATCCAAAATCCCTTATTGATTCATCTTTTAGCTTGGGAAATTACTCCTTTGCCCTCAACCAATCATTGTGAATCATTCTAGGGTTTTGAACCCTATATAAACCACCTTATTTCATCTCATTTTCCTGATCTCATTCTTTACCTCTTCCTCATATTTTTGTCTGCCAATAACAAGGAGAGAAACAACAACCTAGTGGTGAAGGAGGCTCAAGCTAGTTCAAGAGGAAGAAGAGATCCAAGCAAGAAGATTAGGCTACAAGAGGTATAACCCCATGGATTCCTCTTTAAATTTGGCTCTGTGAAGCCTAGTTTTGAGTAGAAATGAGTAGGAACTATGAGCTTTTGATGTGTTTATGCTTAGAAGTGATTTAGTATGTGTTTTTGAGTTGTTGAGATTGTTTTGGATTGGTTTGGATGAGTTTTTGCAGGTGAAATCACATCTGGTGCACAACACAGTGTGCACCAGATCAAAGTGGCAGCCCTAGCCGCGGCCCATCAGAAGGGTCGCCGGCTAGAGCCGTGGTGGCACGGGACTAGGGCACGGCCCTAGAGGAGGGCCGTTGCCTAGTCTCGGCACATCAACGGGGCTCCAGGGGCTGACTATGAAGAGTCCCGCCCCAGGTCCCTGAGTATTGTCTGTGAGGGATTTTGTGAAGTAGCCTGGACCTTGTGGCTCAACTACGTGTCATTTCGTACCGAGTGTTATGGGCCCTTGTGACTCGGCTCTTCGGGATCATCTCGACGCATGTTTTGGCTTTGATTTCGTTGAATTTGGATTAAAAACAAGTATGTTAAGAAGGATTTTGTGAAGAATTGTTACACAGTGCATATTTTGCTAAGTTATATGTGTTTGAGAAATTGTTGATTATGTGATCAGATAATGTTTTTATTGAGTAAAGAAGCATGATCCTTTGAGAATATGATTTTTGAAAGTATGATTAAATTGTGTTATTTGATCAATGAGAATAGAAGCATACTTGTTGAGTGAAATGTATAGAAATTGCTATTTTGCAAACCGAGCATGATGATATATCTTTGAATACTTCATGTTAGTTTATACATGATTTAGAAGCATGTTATAGAGCATTTTGACATTTCACATGAGTCATATTTCAAAAATGTATAAGGGGTCAACGTGAGTCCAAGAATACTTTCAAAAACCATAAGCATGTGGTATATCATTCTTTGATGCATTGAGAAGTAATAGAATTGTTGCATGCATGAGATTGATGCATGAGAGATATATTTATGTATTATCTATATCGGTGAGGTTTTGGAGGATACCGTTTGGACTATGTTCCTTTCGGGAGATTATTTATGGACATTGCGGTCCCAGTATATGTAACGCAACGTATTCCCACGTTACGAGGTTGGAAACTTCCCGTCAGGCTTGGAATCTTGGTTAGGGGGTGTGCACACTAATAGTTCGATACCTGATTCCATAGAGTTTGAATCACGAGATCGGTTCCGTTGATGGTAGGAGATATTGGGTCGGAATTATGCCGTTCCCGATGGGGTAAGTCACACTTTTGTGGAACCCTAAGCCGTCTATGAGTATAAGAGAAAGAAAGAGAGTCAACAAAGACTCAAGAAAGAGAGTCAACAGAGACTCAAGTATGAGAGTCAATATAGACTCGATAGAAAGAAAGAGAGTCAAGAGAGACTCGAGAAAGTAACAAAGAAACCTCCACAAAAAGTACTCTAATTTATAAATGAGTGTACAAGTACATAATTGCATGAGATTGCATATGAGTATGATTATATTGTTGCACTGGATTGCATAAGAGCATGATTATATTATTGCACTAGATTGCATATGAGCATGAGTATATTATTGCACTAGTTTGTATAGGAGCAGGAGTATATTGTTGCACTAGATTGCACAAGAGTATGATTATGTAATTGCACGAGATTGCATACGAGTATGAGTATATTGTTGCACAAGATTGCATACGAGTATGAGTATATTGTTGCACGAGTTTGCATAAGAGTTTGATTATATAATTGCATGAGATTGTATATGAGTATGAATATGTTGATGCACTAGATTGCATGAGAAGTATGATCATAATGTTATACATGATTGTATGCGAATGGAGCATCGTAAGAGAATTGTTTAATGTGAAGCTTAACTTAAGGTATTCCTTTGAGCATGATTATTGTGATGTTGTAGAAGTTCTACTTAATAAGTTATGTGATAAGAGTGTGGAAGCATGTGAACACCTGTTATATGGTCTTTTAGCATGATCTTATCCGTAAGCATGAATTGCTTGATAAGCTATTTGAGAAGTCTATATGTTGATGAATCTACGTGATCAATCTTATACATATATAAGCATGCCAGCTGATATTATAGGGTGCAAGCATCTAGAAAGAATGTGATAGATCTAAAGATGATTTGATATTAGCTTATTGCTATAAAGATATCAAATGTTTTCAAAGTATATGCTAGAATGCTTTACAGGGTTGAGTGTGGTTATACTTAGCTTCGTGCTAACGGGTATTTTTCCTGTTGTCTATGTGTTGCTTGCAAAACCCCTTTCAGGTGGGCCCAGCAGTGAGAAGAGGTCGAGTTAGATTAGCCTCTTAGTTTGAGATGTCTAAACTCTAGTACCTTTGATGCTATGTATGGATTTTAGACTTATGACTTAATATTTGAGGATTGATGTAGACTGTGTTGGGGTGACGTTTCCCCCCCCCCCCCCCCCCCCCTTACATTCCAGTATTTATTTTTAGTACCCAGACTTAATCTTATTTGTAGTTTCACCCTTTTTAGCCTGTGCAATCACCAAGAGTGGTGGTTGTGGCGGTGACACTCCCACTACTTATCTTCTAGTTTTCCGCTACTTAGTTTATGTTAATGACTGTTTAGAGATGTAATTAAGAGTTAGAAAAGTGGGATGTTACAGAGAGTGACCACCCATAAACCTCTAAATCGTACTCCTTTGATCTTCCATGTTATGTTGCATCCTTATGTCCTCTCTAATGTCATAATTTGACTCCAAATCTCACAAAAAATGTCCCATTTCCCACTTGATTTACTTGTACATCCTTATCATCACCTACAAACCAAAATCAAGCAATTAATAATGCAATCTATCTCAAAACTCGTCAACATCCAATCAATTAAAACACAAAATAGGAGATAAAACCACATCAAAATATCACTTATAAAGAATCTTAATTTCAATTTTTTTTTTTTTTACGATATGATCAGTGTGGATGTTAGCCCGAGTCTCTTAAAAAACCTTCTAGAGGCAAGACTTGCATCTAGAGCTGTCAAAATGGGCCCAACCCGTCGGGTTGGGCCTGTTTAACCCATATTTTGGACGGGTTGGGTGGGAGAAATCCTAGCCAGTCCCGTATTCGACCCGTTCCGTTTAACCCGTGGGTTACACAGGTTACCCAGCCCGTCGACTTTTAAAAAAAATAAAAATAAAAAATTAAGCGAATAGGGCAATAGGCGAATAGCGATGGCTGCGATGCAGTCAAAGTCTCAAAGACTTAACCCTAAAATCTAAAAATCCCTAATTCAGACTTCAAAGAGACAGAGACCATCGCTCTTCCAGTCCTCCGCAGTCAGCGCCTCGGCCGCCTTCCCTGCTTGACTCGATTGGCGACTCAACCTGTGAAGACCGACGGGCTACGAATGACGCCACCACTCCTCGCGAGTCGCGACCTAGACCAGTGGACCACCAGTCAGTACCT